TGTACATAGAGATCAAGCGAAGTCGCCTTGCGGCTACTATTTACCATGCAAGGGAGTGCTGTCACACTACCGAAAGCAGTTGTGACAAACACACGGCGCTCAAAAACGATAAATGCTCGACGGAACCCGAGAAACACGGCATGGCTAGCGCTGAGTTGATAGGTACAGTATACACAGGAGTCTGAGGGTGGATACAGAAGTCCGGTGGACGGTGGATGCAAGCGGAGTAGAACGATACACAGTGAGGAAACGACACCATCAAGTTTCCCACTTTATTTGTTTTACCAGTCACTGGAGATTGGAAAGTTGTGAGGCCAATATCGCAGGCGTCAAAGTAGGTTTGTTACGTGAGGTATGATGGATAGGACATTATAAGTAGCAACTGTGTTATTCGACGACGCCTGCACAGATGGACACTCACGTAGGTTCGCAGTCGGCACATGTAGCGATGCTATTTAAGCTCAAAAGTTGTGCCACCATCCCGGTGCCTCATGAACTAATGCGTTGTTATCTCTAAACATCCGGAGCCTAGAGGAGGAGTGTAAAAGCCAGTTGTGTAAAATTGACCCGCCAACTTCAGGGCAAATTACGAGAGGAGAAAGTAAGGTGAAAACGGGTTATAAGTTGCAGCGATTATAACTACGAAGGTGGGTATCTGAAAATGAGTAAGCCAATGGGGAATGAAATTGCCATTGGTTATGACGTGAGACCAAATCCACTACATTAGGACTAAAGATGAATTCCGAATGGAAAGGGACAAGTGAATTCCCGACGTTGGTGTGACAGCAGCAACCACAGGCAAGTTTGTGCTGCAACATCAAATATCTCAATGACTTGCCACAGATATTTTCAACGAGGAAATGGAGAACAAGATTCCGATGATCACTCCTACTTCAGAACGCATCGCAAAGGTTGTCGAGGAAACCAGACAGACACTTCGCGCACGAGCAGTTCCCACATGCTCATACAAGTCAATTCGCCCTGATCGCTTATTAAAGGTGCCAAAGTAAGTGAATGTCCAAGTGCACATTGCATTTTTGAGTCCACTGCACACCGATCCATAGACGTTTCCATCGCAAAGTTTAACGGTCCGAGTATTGAAATACTGACTGGCGAGTGGCTCAATGATTTGCACATGCGAACACCGTAAGGATTTCTGGTCGTGATGCTATTGTAGCGGACCATTCCGCTAAACTGCGCACACTTCGCACTGACAGATATGTTGCTAGGAGAGCGTCGGCCCACCGTACTCAGCTAGCTCTTCGGTTTGAAGATATAGAGCTAATGCAGTTCAAACGTCAGAAACTTACGTTAGTTACTTCCGGTCAACAAGCTAGAAAATTTAGCGGTCATTCCTAAGTCCCGGTGCTGATAGAGCCAGCAGTGGACCTAAGTTTGCTTAGTGTTGAACATTTGCAAAAAGTCATTTGGGGTTTTAGAGCAATTACACCAGAAAGCAATAAAAATCAGTCAACAGAGGTAGGCGGGGTCGTTGGTATATCAGAGTGCAACAACCATATAATCCTAATGAGTCCGATACCACATATAGCCAATGCACATAACGGAATCTTTGGTTAAAATCGTAACAGCGGAGATGAGTGATCTCGTAGATGTATGGATGTAGCTAAAGGAAAACGGAAAACAGAAATCCGAAAAGTGAGATTATGAGGCTCACAGTGTAAGTCTCCTCGAGTTTCTTTAAATCCTCACACCACAACATGGCGGGTGTTTTAGAGCACAATATGCGGAGCTCATTTTGCTTCGCATCTCGCTGAGCGAGCAAGTCTTCTTTACGGTCCCTTGTCAAGCTCCGTAAGGGCACGTTTAAAATGTCGTCGTAATCCGGACTACCTGTCTCGGATACCACTTGCTGATCAGGGGAACCAGATTCCATCTCCTCCTCCAGGCTAGCCAACTTGTCCAAACACTCTTTCCAGGCTCGAACTGGATCTGAATCATAATTGGCCGCTTGAAGAATCCGAATCAATTCTTTCTTTGGTTTGTTCTCGATAAAAATTTGAGACTGGATCTTTTCCAAAACGAATCTGGCTTGGTTCTCAAGTTTACGCGCTTCAGCGGCCAACGTTCCTTCCAGATAAGCTTTGCGCATTTCATACCTGAAAGTAAATGAACAGGTGGCTATAGTGTTGTGCGACAGAAACAATGCTGTAAGAAGGATACCGGAAACTCAATAACTGACTGATGAATTAGTAGGTATAAAACGGCTAAAACTGACGGATCTGTGCTAGTTTATGAAAGCAGGTGGATCGGATGGATTGAGCGCGAGGGGACCAGGTGACTGGTTAATACGTTTGGACAGGCGTATTAAAATGAGCTGAAAAGCTGTAGCATATGTGGTCATCAGAGCTCAGAAATAGAAAGTAACGGTGAGAAGGTAGTGCAGTGTTATACCGGATGGATGAAATAAACTATCTTAATACGGCGTGGTCAAATAATGTGCACTACACCAATGCTGCGCGCACCGATATTTCGCTGACATGTAGCCGGAAAAGCTTTTGTGCACGAACTGTGATGCTGCACGAATGCCCATGCAGCAACGTTGACTTGAACCCGAGAAGTAAAGGTTGCAAGGTAAAGAGCTTAACTAATACACCAAGAACCCACATACATAATTGTATGGGCAGTTGAAGGAGGTGGCTTCTACACCAAAGATAATATAAAAGATTACAGTGGGGGCCTCGCGGCATTGTTACATGAGAAGCGGTGAAATGGTTACAGCTAACATATAAATGTTAGAGCCGTGTAGTTCAACATTGCAAACTTTGCGGAGTGAGCTCCAAAGGACCAAGTCCGACCGGATAGTGAGACAAAGTCCTCAAATTAACTGGGCCTACGATCAGCCAAATTAATACCGTGAGTTCAAACATCCAGTTGATGGAGGATGAAAATGAAGAGTGAATATTGAAGCGAAATGCGGAAGATGTAGAAAGTCGCATTACAGCTAAATGCTACAATAGAGCTTCAGCTAAGATTGGATTTTCCGAAAAACGCAAGAGATTTATTCTTGTTAAAAACGGAGACCTGTACTGAATCTGTGCTAAGATCATAAAGTGAATAAGTCAGTCAATGGAACCTAGAGCCGATGTAGGCAGATCGAAACAACGGTTGGGGAAAAAAGTGGGACCGTATTGCAAGTGGAGTTCAACAGCAGAAGCACCCAATGAGCTCGTACCGACGCTTCATTGCCATACGACCTCGAGTGATCGGACGCAGGTTAGAAACACTGACAGGTCATTTGCACCAATGCATACGCAAACCGGTGACCTGTGGATAATAAACGGACACCTAAAAAGACCCACCACCGAATGATGGCAGTGAACCAGTAGTGTGCACAGAGTGGAAAGCAAACCCGAACCAATTAATGTAAATGAATGCAGAGAAAGATGGTAAAGATTGATATCAAAAGAGCGCTCACCACTGAAGTCGAACGTCGAAGTAGTCCCGCAGTAAATGGGACACATTTTTATATAGCTTCAAACAACCCAGGTGATCGAACACAACCATGGTGTTGGTGGTCCGCTGAGTGGAAACTTGAAAAACTTGTGTAGTCCGACGCTTTCGGCCTCGCGTAACTTTTCTGGGGTCATCTTCACGACAAACCGAACAGTGATATCCGTGTGGTATTCTTCGTTATCCATGAAAATTGCAACCGGAGGTGAGAGACCGTAGGGTACAATGCATGACGAAAGCATTAACTCCAGAAAGATGTGAGGATGTGCCAGCCGGTCCATAAGTATTCCCTTGCTTACTACTGAGTAGGTTAAAACACGGAAGTGTACCAGCAAACTGTACGAATACCTATCCCAGCCCATCACGGTAGTGATTCGCACGGAGCGTGAGGCAGCGTGTGCGTTTCCTGATCTGGCAGAGCACAGGCAGTGCTAAGTTGTACGTTAAGCACAAGCGATTCATGAGGACTAGCGAACTTATTTATAATCGGACACATAAGGAGGCGAAACTTAAAGGCAGATGCTAGGTATTGATAGAGCGCGAGTCCTCGCCGGTAACCGAGTTGATTAAGGCTCTCATCAATAACGCGACTATACTGTGGTACGCCAAGTGGTTCAGTTCAGTTCAGTTCCGTTGAACAACTATGATCCGAGCACCAAAGTGGGATGGATTCAGTTGCCACAACTCACATCACAAGAATAACCATAAGTAACAACGAAAAGATGGTGGGGTTGGCTGCAAGCAGAGTTTGCAGAACACGTTAGCTAGGGCAGTAGATTAATCATTATGGAACGAAACTAAGCAACCATGTGCAAAATACCGAAGGCAGGAGCACCACTGAATTCGCTACTGTGCGATGTCTGGTAGATACTTTAACTATTGGCGTTGACCATTCCGGTAGCCCCTATCCACGAAGACCGCACGCACCAGCCTGACCAGGTTTCTCAGTTAATTTCTTCAAGCTTCTGTGCTGCGTCATCGACTAGCTACCTCGCGGTTTCGCCCAGCTCAGTGCAGCCACGGTGTATAATGCACGCCAAGGAATGCGCTCAACGGTCACTTGCAGAACATTATCTATCCCACGTAAACGGTTGCGCTTTAGCAAACACTCGAGTGAGACAATGGAAAGCTTTTTGCTAAGAACCATTTGGCGGACCTCAGCATTGTTCACCCGGCGTTCCCACCAGACGTGAGCAATACTCTGCGAACATCTAGCGTTTGACGTCTTCGGTGCGAACCGATCAGGTTTCTTATCCATACAGTAACGCTGGTCTTATCGCCGCGTTATGCACCCTACCTTTCAGTGACAGGCTGGTGTCCCGCTGTCTCCATAGATGGCAAAGAGTAGGAAAGGTGAAAAAAGCAGATGTGCACAAGCCTCGCGGTCAAAATGGTAGGTATGCATATGTGAAAGTGAGCGGATACACACACACACATTGAAAGTCGCGTCGATGAGTCTATGGCTTTAAAGCCTAACATTATCCGAGTGGACTCTGAGCTTCACGAGGCGTTTAGGAGTGCTATTACCTTCCGCTCATGGCCGCGCATAAAGAATAGGCAGTAGAGAATCATGAATGGATGAAATGTCCATCCAATGGGATTGCCATTTGTGTGCTTAGATATAGATAGGAAACACTGTAGTTGATGCTTCAATCGCTGCATCGTAGACAGCTGGATGTGTAAGGATGAAGAGTACGGAAGTAGTTAGTCGATGTGGTTTGGTACGACCAGCGTAGCTAACACTCTACAATTAAGTTCAGACCAGGGTAATGTCAACGGCCCATCACTTGAATAGTGGTGCGTTGTGAACAGATAGGCGAGCTAAATAAATGTGAGGTATCATTGAAAACAAATTCACTTCTCTGATGTGTGGGCGTGAGCACATGTACCAAGGATCTGTGAACAACTTTTGACCCTATGAATCAGCGGAAAGCTATGGTCGGGCTGAAAACATTCAAAAGGTAACCTGTGAATGTCAAGTCGCCCCTAGTATAGCCTTACCAGTTACGAAATGCACACGATTCCAATGCAGGCACGCGAATGTAGTGGTCGGGAGGGTGCGGCTATTAGCCGCTAGATTCCTTACAACATGAATAGACAACGATGCTACTGCGGCTGGAAATAAACTCATGTGATACAAGGTTGGACCTTGTCGGTAACATTCAACATTGGTTCCAACACACCCTCTTTGTAAGCTTGAGTCCAAGTTCGGACAGGCAGCTCGGTAATTTCAATTGTATCGTCATCCAAAACGGCAACCTCACCGTGGACAACATACCGGTTGGTTTCAAAATCCTAAACCGTGCCGCGACAGAAGGCAACGGTATTCATGGTGAATTGAACAAAATTGCGGAACACTAAATGCCATTAACGTTAGAGTTGGTCACGGCAGTAAGGTTGTAAAAGAAGCTGCACTTGAGCAGTGCGAATAGGTAGAACGGTGGCTCACTGTGGTGTGGCAGTAAATGATTCATGTCAAGCAAACTTTGAATGGTAAAACTGATGTTATAAGTCAAGGTATACGGTTGCTGATAACGTTGCCGTCAACGTTACTGGGACGTTCCAGGGAACGTGCCGAAAATAGTGAATAAAGAGTATGCAACGGCTGTAACTCACCATGACTGGCGCATGGCCAAACTCTGCTGCATGAAGTCGTGTTCCAAGCCGACCTTTCATAAACCTGTAGATGATAAAAAGACACAATCGATATGGGAAAAACGTTGATAATCCGCGTGGCTCTCTCATCCCTGCACTCCACGACCGACGGTTTCGTCTTGGTTTAGACTCATCAGGTAGAGATAGCCGAGCTGGAAGCGGAACTCGGCTCATAGTGCTTGGCGGCTATCGCCATGATCACTAGGCCATTGGGCTCCGCTAGCAGTGTTTGATACAGCGGTTAGAGGTAGATATTCGGATTTGTTTGTAGCACCCGCCGTGTGTCTTGAATTGCGAAGCGCAGTCTTACTAGCGGCGTCGTTTGACTTTGAAGCCAACTTCTGCAAATACCGTCACTGGGACCGTCACCGAAGTGGAGGGTTTCGGTGTGGCTCTCACCCAGCCCTGCACTCCATTACCTACGGTTACATCCTGGTTTAGACTTATTATTAGAGATAGCCGAGCTGAGAGTGGAACTCGGCGCATAGTGCTTGGCGGCTATCGCCGTGATCATTAGGACATTGAGCTCCGCGAGCAGTGTTTGACACAGCGGTTAGCAGTAGTTTTGCAGGTTTCCTGGATCACCCGCCGTGTGTCTTGGATTGCGACGCGCAATCTCACTTGTGGCGTCGGTTGGCTTTGAAGTCAGCCATTGCCAACACGGTCATCGGGGCCATCACCGAATTGGAGGGTTTCGGTGTGGCTCTCTATAATCACTGAACCATACGACCGACAGTTTTGTCTTGGTTTAGACCCATTATGTAGGTATAGGCGAGCAGGGAGTGGAACTCGGTGCATAGTGCTTGTTGGTTATCGAAACGATCACTAGGTCATTGAGCTCCGCGATCAATGTTTGACAAAGCGGTGAGAAATAGGTTTTCGGGTTTGTTTGTAGCACTACCTGTGTGTCTTTGATTGCGGCGCGCAATTTGAATTGAAGTCAGCCACTGCCAATACTTTCACTGGGACAGTCACCGAAGTGGAAGATTTGGGTGCGACTCGCTCCCATTTCTGCACTGCACGACCGACGGTTTCGTCTTGGTTTAGATTCATCAGGTAAAGATAGCCGAGCTGGGAATGGAACTCACCGCATAGTGCTTGGCGGCTCTGGCCATGATCACTAGGCCACTGTCATCCGCGAGCAATGTTTGTCACAGCGGTTAGAAGTAGATTTTGTGGTTTCTTTGTAACACCCTCCGTGTGCTTTGCATTCGACGCGCAATCTTACTTGTGGTGTTGGTTGAATTTGAAGTCAGCCTCTACCAATACGGTCAGTGGTGCCGTCACGGAAGTGGAGGGCTTCGGTGCGGCTCTCTAAAATCCCTGCACTTCACGCCGACATTTCCTTCTGGGATTATACTCATCAGGTAGAGATAGCCGAGTTGCGAGTGGATCTCGGCGCATAATTCTTGGCTGCTATCGCCGTGATCACTAGGCCATTGAGCTCTGCGAGCAGTGTTGGACACAGCGGTTAGATTTAGATTTCCAGGTTTTATGGGAGAGCCTGACGTGTGTCTTTGATGGAAGAAACTTCTTGCACTATGCGGCTCGTCCCAAGTTAAAGCCATATGCGACCTTAATTACTCCCATCTCGGCTATCTACCTGACATGTCCAAACCAAGAAGAAACCATTTTTCTTTGGGGGCGGTGATTGTGTGTAGGCATACCGAAACACTCCACTTCAGTGACGGTCCCAGTGAATGTATTGGCAGTGTCTGACTTCAAAGTCAAACTATGTTACTAGTGTGGTTGCGCATCGCATTCCAACCCACACTGTGGATGCTACAAACAAACCCGAAAATCTACTTCTAACCGCTGTGCCATACACTGCTAGCAGGGCTTAAATGCCTAGTGATCGTGGCGATATCCGCCTAACACTATGCGCCGAGTTCCACTCCCAGCTCGACTATCTTTACCTGATGAGCCTAAACCAAGACGAAACCGTCGGTGTTGTAGTACAGTGATGGGAGAGAACCACACCGAAACCCTCCACTTCGTTGACGGTCCCAGGGGCCGTATTGGTAGGAGCTGACTTCAAAGTCAACCGACGCTACAAGTGAGATTGCGCGTGGCAATTCAAAACACACGGCTGGCGATCCAAAATCACCGAAATATACGGTATCCGTTCCTAAGACCATCACTGTAGACGACAGTTCGATATTGTTGCACAGATCGGTGGCTTGGAGGCAAGAAAACGTAGAGCCGGAGCGATAACAGGACCTTCGATATCCGTCACATGGATCATCATCATCCTCTTCATTGTCATCATCAGCATCATTTTACTGGTTGGCTGGCGTTGTGAAAGCTGTTTCAACTCGGATGACTGCCCCCAGTAGTTGTGCCGGTTCGAAATTTTGGAAAGCAGTTTCCGCACTCGCTACTTTCACTGCATCTTCACAATACAAATCCGGTAATTTGTTCCTTCTTGGACAGCAATTTTACCTTTTAGACATTAAAAAGTAGCATATGCTGTAAATGCTGCTTTTCATTTCCCATATTTGTAGGGGCAACAACCAAAATTACTGCATAGAATAAATCGCACTTGTGCACAAGTAAGCATTACTATATCAGCTGTCAAAAATGAGGCATAAGTGGGAAGTTGACTGTGAAAAATTACAAAAAAATG